TCGTTTATATGGGATCAGAGATTGGAAAAACACAATTGTTTTTGCACGAAATCGATTTGAAAACACAATTTCGTCGCCAGAATGAAAGGGGGATAACTCATATCAAGTTATACTTATAAAACCCAGGTTTTGTGTGTGTATGTGTGTGTGTGTGTTCGTTTATATATGGGATCGGATTTCCTACATTTTTCAACCAATTCCAACAAAACTTCACTTTTTTTGGCAGGTAGTGTTTCTTATTGTCTTGCACACTTTTTTCTTTATTTTTACATTCAGAATGCTTTAAAAATTCCATTTACAAGACAATTGTTTTATAATAAAATTCTATTCACCAATCGATAGACTCATAAAGATTGAAAACAATGTTTTTGTTTGAGTTTGACCAATTCGTAAAAAAAAAAAGAAATAAAACTAGTTAAGACATGCGTGTCCGTCAACCTTAAACAATAATCTTTGTCAATTTTATTTTTCAGTCTTTATGATGGTCGATACTTGATCTATCTCTTACTGTTACATCCCCGGGCAACGCCGGGCTCTACTGCTAGTTATTATTAATATTTAACTGGTTTTTCTTTCGTTGTCATTCTATTTTATGTATATACCAAGTAGTAGTAGCTGTAATAGTATTGCTGAAATAGCCATTATTAATAATATGCAACTAGTTTTTCATCCATCGTATTTCTTTTGATTGTTTTTGCTGTGTGGTCGCTGAAATATTATAGCATGCCTTAAATGTCTCTTTCTTCAAGGATGTATTGACGTTATTATTATTGTTTGACTATTTTTTTTATTTCGTTCTATTTCCGTTGCTTGTTTACACCAAGTAGTAGTAGGCGTAATCGTCTTGATTTATCTGAGTTTCTTAAATGATGTATATTGCTATTATTAATGTTTCACTAGTTTTTCTTCCATTGCCTTTCCGTTGTTTGTATACGCCATGAAACAGCAGCTTTAATAGTTTTAAATTTCCCTGATATTTTAAGTGGTGGATTATCTGTATAATTAATGTTTGACTTGTTTTTCTTTCATGGTACTCCCCTTCTTTACGCCAAGTATTAGTAGTCGTGGAAGGCACGGTGGAATAATGCTCGGATTGAGGAATCGGAGAGCCGAGTTCGAATTCCAGTCGAATCCATTGCATACACTTAGGAAACGTTTTTGGATGTAATGGAGATTTTCTCTCGTTTGAACAGCTATAACCTCTTCCATATATATATATATATATATATATATATATATATGTGTGTGTGTGTGTGTGTGTGTGTGTGTGTGTGTGTGTGTGTGTGTGTGTGTAAGCAAATATATGGGTATAGATCCGACAGTATGAAGAAAAATATACGGAAAAAACAAACAAAAATCCTAATATGCAATTATGCTGTTTTAATGTTAATATAACGTCAACGTTGGACGTTTCGGTCTAGTAGACCATCTTCAGGACATATTCATAAAACATAATTAACATTAGACTATATTTAATTCAACTTGAAAAGACGATGGACATAAGAGTAAGACTAATCAAAACAGACAACTGAAATTTTTCAAGAACAGCGTTCCGTTTCAATATGATCACGTCGGCGTCACGTGGGCGATGTTGTGAAAACGTATTTTCATTTTTCATTCAAAATATTATATTTTAGGAATTAAATATAGTCTAATGTTAATTATGTTTTATGAATATGCCCTGAAGATGGTCTACTAGACCGAAACGTCCGACGTTGACATTATATTAACATTAAAACAGCATAATTGCATATTGGGATTTTTGTTTGTTTTTTTTCCGTATATTTTTCTTCATATATATCTCCTAATATGATTTTTTTTATCTATATATTAATATGCTTTTACATAGCAATTTATGTTGTGTAAAGCACAATATAAAAAGTGAGAGAGATGTAGAGAGACAAAGAGAGAGTGTGACACGGAGACGGATTAGAAGGTGGGGGGGCATCTTAAATAAAAGCTGTTGTTCACTATTTACATTGTTCGGACTATCGTCCTCATCTTTGTTGTCATATTTATCACAACGTTTCGGCCGTTGTACTCTCCGGCCTTCTCCAGGTGGTTGGAAGTTCGAACTGAACCCTTTATTTCGCTCGCCGGGGTAGACTGTTCTAGTTCCACGTGCCATGTCTAATGAATGACTTAAGGTAAAAATTACAGCACTGAAAAAGTAATATATATATATATATAAAGGGTTCAGTTCGACATTCCAACCACCTGAAGAAACGTTGTGATAAATATAGCAACAAAGATGAGGACGATAGTCCAAACAATGTAAATAGCATACATAATACATCATCTCAGAAATATAGACAGATACTAAAGGCAGTTGTTTGCTAAATCAACTTAAATCTTATCTTGACAAATTTGTAAATTGCACTTTGGGGCATCAATTTCAATGAATTCCTAATTGTTATAGTATTTCATGCATTATTCAAAACTTGATAACTTTCTTATCATAGTAGAATTGAAATATACGAAATCTCTCTCTCTCTCTCTCTCTCTCTCTCTCTCTCTCTCATATATATATATATATATATATATATATATATATATATATATATATATATATATATCAGGTTATAAGTTCTGTCCGAATTTTAACTTTTTGTTAAAATGAACGAAATTTAAAGAGTATTTTATCATGTCTAATGGAGCTAAACATTATTTTTATGTTTAGATGCATTTAAACTGATCAAATTTTATTTCAGAGAACAATAAAATTAAATTTTGTTTGATTAAAACCCTGCTAACATGGAAGTATCCAAGAATCATTTGAGGCACATAATGCTTTATGAGTTCAAGAAAGGAAACTCAGCAGTCGAAGCGGCTAGAAACATTCACTCAGTTTATGGAGAGGAATGTGTGAATGAAAGAACTTGCAGAAGATGGTTTGCAAAATTCAGAGGTGGAGATTTCACCCTTGAAGATGAAGATCGAACCGGACATCCAGTTGAGTTTGATGAAAAGCTTCTTGAAGCTGCCCTTGAAGAAAATCCTGCTTTATCAGTTGAGGAATTGGCAGTGGTTCTCAGTTCAAACCAAACAACTGTTGATCGTCATCTTCAACAACTTGGAAAAGTTCCTAAACTTGGAAAATGGGTGCCTCATGAATTGTCTGAAAACAACCTCAAATCCCGAGTTGACATCTGCTCTTCTCTCCATTCTCTCCAACTTGTTTCACCTTTTTTGGATAGACTTGTGACTGGCGACGAAAAATGGATCTTTTATCGAAATGTTAAGCATCGTAGACAGTGGCTTGGTAAAGGAGAAGGACCCCATCCACAGCCGAGAAGGGAACTTCATGGGCAAAATGTTCTTTCAATCTGGTGGGATAGCCAAGGAATAATCCACTTTGAATTCTTACAACCTAATGCAACAATTAATGCTCAAATATACTGTCAGCAATTAGAGCGTTTGAACCAAGTTTGAGGAAAAAAAGACCTGCTCTCGTGAATCGAAAAGGGGTGATGTTTCATCAGGACAATGCGCGACCCAACACAGCAAGAACCACGTCAGAAAAGATGGAAGAACTTGGTTGGGAGAAAATTCCCCATCCACCTTATTCTCCCGATCTTGCTCAGACTACCATTTGTTTTGTAGCTTACAGAATCATTTGGAAGAAACAGCTTTTGTAACACAGGAAGAGGTTAAAACTGACATTTGGGAGTTCTTCGAATCAAAGCCAAAAGAATTTTACAGTAATGGAATTAGTAAGCTTGTTAATAGATGGAAGGAAGTCATAGATAATCAGGGAAAATACATTGTTGATTGATCTATAATTAAATGGTCACGTTTTCTTTATTCAAAATTCGGACAGAACTTATGGGATGACCTGATATATATATATATATATATATATATATATATATATATATATATATAGTACACTTTCAGTTCTATAATTTTTACTTTAACTAATGTAATATCTTTCTATATTTTAACTATTTTTGATGAATAAAATTTTATTTTTTATTATTGCATTGGTGTGTAACATATTTATTTAAATTTATTATAATTTTCATTTCAATGAATAATTAATCTTCACTTCAAGTTTTGATTTTATATACACCACAATTAAAAATTTTAAAGCCACCCCCAGAATTAGCATGGGATGAACTTGACAGAAGAATGAAAAAAAAAAATTAAAAAAGCTCTTAGAGTCATTGAAAAAAAGAATGGAATCAATTATCAAACTTATACTTTGATAAACTTTTGCAATGAATGCCAAAAATTTGTGCTGCATTAATCAAGGCTAAAGGAGGATATTTTGAGCGAGTAAAAGTTAATCATAAAATACTTCTTTTTTTTTTTGTCATAACAAAATTTCTAATAAAAATCATGTCTCAGGTTTTAACCATGTGTATTAATTTTCTATTATTTAAAGTACAAAACTACTTTTTAGGCCAATTTAAAAAATTACCAAGGGTGTCCTCCAACTTCTGAACTTTAGTGTGTGTGTGTGTGTGTGTGTATATATATATATATATATATATATATATATATATATATATATATATATATATTAACCCGGATATCAGAGACTCGGATATAAGAGATTTTCTCTGATCCCAAATTAGAGCCTGTGTTAATGTATATAAAATAGACCAAAACCCGGATATAAGAGAAACCCGGATATAAGAGACTTCTTCTCCGGTCCCGACAACTCTCTTACCCTCTGTGTGTGTGTGTGTGTGTGTATATATATATATATATATATATATATATATATATATATATATATACCCCATTTTCTGAAATCCTAGGTGACTAACGCAGGATTAAGTAGAAAGATCTTTAATAGCGATCTTCTAAGCGTAGCTTAGATGTGGCACAAGGCCGAAAGTATGGGGCACCCAGAGAGGATTGAACTCACTACTTAGTCATAATTGTTCTCGCAAGACAAGCTTACTAACCATTACACCGACTCGAGGTTCCCTGGAAAGATCATTCATTGGGCAAAGAAATTCAATTCAATTCAATTGTTTATCTTACCTTACTTAAAGCAACGTTGGGAAATTGTTCAAATACCAACGGTTCCATGGCTTTCCCTTTGACTTGTCCTTTTAAAATCCTCCCCGCGGCAACTGTACTCAAACTCATCGCATCCCCCATGAAGAGAATTATATTTTTGGCCATGTTTTCATTTTTCTTGATTCCCGTAACACGCACCAAATCCGATTCTGCCAGCTGCTTCCAGTCCTTGCCTGAAATGCAAAAAAAAAACAAAACAAAAAAAAAACATATTTGATGACAATAATTGCGCCATATCACTGTACATGCAGTACTGTTCTATAAGAGTGAGTCACCTGATTTTTTTACTAAATGTTCTCTTCTTCGATGAAACGAAAATTGAGATAAATTCAAAGGATAAGCGATCTAAAATCCGAAGAAGAATCTTTGAAAGCTCTTTGAATTTAGCAGTAAGTACTGTCAAGCATCCGTTCAGTATAATGTTCTGGGGATGCTTTTCTTTTCATGGAACTGGTTTCTTAAAACCTATTGAAAAGATCCTCAGGAGCGAGCAGTACAAGAGAATTTTAGAGTCTTTTCTGCTCCCTTCTGCTGAAAGGGTGCAAATCGACCCCACCAAGCTCATTTTTATGCAGGATAACGCTCAAAATTGATAAAGGAATACTTTGATGAGAAACAGGTGTGTGGCTCTAATATATATACTTTTTTGCTTGAAGCAGCAAGCTTCCCTTCGGTGTGCTGTTATACCCCACGACATTTTTGTCGCACAGGTAAACCATTTTTTGATCTTGGTCGGATAGGTTACCCTCCCCTTGGTGAGTTTGGTTGACACGGTGGAGTAATGGATAACGGCTTGGATTGAGGAATCGGAGAGCCGAGTTCGAATTCTAGCCGAAACCATTACATTCACTTACGTGTTAATACCCTTGGGAAAAGTATGAATCCTCTTCTTCTCCCAGCAATGGATTGAATAGCAGGACAGACCGGGTTCTATAGCCTTGGATGGCAACTGGTCTACCACAGAAAGAAATGGCAACATACTGTGGGAAAAAATCTGCCTCGTCAGTCATGTATCGAAAGATACATGATCGCCTAAGCGTGTATCACGCATGGCATATGACTCACTGACTGACGTGCTAATACCCTTGGGAAAGGTATTAATCCTCTTCTTCTTTCCCCAGATATGGGTAAATAGCAGGACAGACCGGGTTCTATAGCCTTGGATGGCAACTGGTCTACCACAGAAAGAAATGGCAACATACTGTGGGAAAAAAATCTGCCTCGTCAGTCATGTATCGAAAGATACATGATCGCCTAAGCGTGTATCACGCATGGCATATGACTCACTGACTGACGTGCTAATACCCTTGGGAAAGGTATTAATCCTCTTCTTCTTTCCCCAGATATGGGTAAATAGCAGGACAGACCGGGTTCTATAGCCTTGGATGGCAACTGGTCTACTACAGAAAGAAATGGCAACATACTGCGGAAAAAATATATATATATGAGTAAAATAAATAGCTGCACACTCTCATATATTTACGACATCAGATCCGCAGCACAGTGATAATCAGAAACTTAAATTCTGTGGAAAACGACTAAGACATTTTTACTCTACTAATTGAAATATACTAAGTCCATTTCACTTTAACAGATAAATATATATAACAAGAAAATTTCGTGGATTTCAAAATTCAAACAAAATTCTCACTTGATTTATTTGAACAAGAACTTTAGCGTCGCGGCATCGAACGATGCAAAACATATATTGAACTTTCAATAAATAGCTGAATTTAAAAAAATATCTTTCGGTCTACATATATTTTTCTTAGGGAATGGGAAAATTGCGAATGAATGGGAAAATTGCGCCCTGAAGATGACAATTTGAAATTGTCGAAAGTACTTGGCATATGCCTTCCATCTGACAACAACTGGAATATAAAGGTCTTATTATTCAAGGAATTGATAGTAAGTTAACGTCTCATTAAGTTCTGTTAGCGAATTGATTTCGCCATTACTCACTTTAACATTGCTATTTAATTCTTTGGATAAATTGTTATGATATATATATATATATATATATATATATATATATATATATATAGTTAAGTTACGAAGAACTTGGTAAACCGTATGGGTAATTCAATTGGTGAAATAAATTATTGTAATGGTGCCTTAAAAGTGGTCTGTTTTTCATTATATATATATATATATATATATATGTGTGTGTGTGTGTGTGTGTGTGTGTGTGTGTGTGTATGTGTGTGTTTGTGTGTTAAAACAAGCAAGAAGGCGGACAAACTCTCTTGAGTCTGGACATTGGAGGTAATCTAATTTAATTTGATTAATGGTCCCCCACTTATTCTCAGAGATGCCAATTCATTTTCCCTAAGATCCAATTTTGTCTACTTTCATTCTAAACTGAGGAAACCAAAGACAGCAGACGCACTTGGCGAAACGCATCGTTTATAAATTTCCCACTTTGTCTCATCATCTTCACTTTTGTTTCGAATACTATTATACATCTTACAAAACCCACATATATACGTACATAATATACTTACACTGGAACTTTCTTTGACAATTTATAATGTCGGGAATATATTTTGCTATTGTGGGTAATATCAAATTTTGTCATTTATAGCCATCCATAGAATAGGCTTCACTAGGCCTAGTTTCGGCCAACTACATTACAATAAAAACAAAATATTTTTTTTTTAATCATATCAACCCAAGCAAGGCAATAATGCCACTAAGACGCAAGGGGTTGCTGGGAGTGAAATAGAATGAAAAGGTTTAGTCAGAACAGATTTCAGGAAAACAAAATGGCGATTGGCGTAGCATTTAAATTTTTGAAGATAGTAGATGACAGGCAAGCAAGAAACTGGAACGGAGCTCCTCAGGCGAGAAGTGCGAGAAAAGAAACTATTAGAATAGAACTTGTGTTGGCATTAAGTTAGTTTAGAAGTAAAATGGTTAGACCTAATTGCCAATCTAGTAGAACGTTTAAATTCATGCAGTCAAGGCATCAAGGAGGAAAGCTCCTTAGAAAAATTGTCATGAAAATATTTGTCGAAAAGATAGAGGGAAGGCATGTCATGTCGTTGAGAAACTGACTACTCGTATCCTGTTCTTAAATAGCCTTGTCGAATGAAGCCGCTGGGTCTTGGCAGAGACCATCTTTCTTCGAATCTTGTGGAAGCCCAAAGAAAGAATTGTACCAGATAACACAAACAACATCACTTCAGGACTTTCAAGAACAACAGCTAAGAAGGATGTCTCATGTAACGTGAAGAAAAGATAAACGCATAATCAAGATGTTGGCATTTCACACTGCTTAAAATAAAAGGTTAGAAAAAAAAAACTCCCATAAATACTGAAAAGAGCTGTAAAGGTTACTGAACTTGAAAAACCTATTTTCTTGAAAAATTGTTTTAAGAAATCGATTTTATAAATTTCAACCAAAAGTAGCACTGGCTGCTCGATCAATGAATGCCAAATGTTTCCTTATAAGGAAACGGCTAATATTACTATTACCATTCGTCTTCGTGTCTTATCGGCTGGCGCTACATAATCACAAACAAAGAACTGTACCAAATCACAGAAACCACATCGCTTGAAGACTTTCAAGAATAGCAACAACTAGAATGGATAGCACATCTAACCCGAAAATAAAGAAAATAATGAGATAATCAAGATGTTGGCGTTCGACACTACTTCAAGTAAAGGTTAGGAAGGAAGCTGCCATAGATATCAGAAAGGGCCATAACAGCTACCGGATAGACCTGAAATATCGTTTTAAAAGAAAGATTTTATAAATTTCAACCGAAATATTGGATATTCGTCAATGAATGCCGAATGTTTCCTTATAAGAAAACATCTAATATTATTATTATTAAAGATTAGAGGAACAGATACTACATTTTGATTTTTCTCCAGCGATCAGGGCGTAAAGAAAACGTAATTTTAGTAGCATTTTAGTGGCTGTTCGGTCAGTGAATGCCGAATGTTTCCTTATAAGGAAACGTCTAATATTATCATTACCATTAGAGATTGGGAGAACAGATACTACATTTTGATCTTTTTTCGATGATCAGGGCAAGAAGAAAAGTGTATCTTGAGTAAGACTGGATGCTCCGTTAATGAATGCCTTATAATGAAACGGCTAATATTACCGTTGCCATAAGAGATTACGAAAACAGATACTACATTTTGATCTCTCTCCGATGATCAGGTCGTGAAGAAAAGCGTCATTTGAATGTTTCCTTATAAGGAAACGGCTAATATTCCCATTACTGATATCATACTTCTAGCTGTATTTCTCTAACAGCTATTTTATTTTTTGGTAGAATTTTAACAAGAGAGCTTAAATATTTCCGTCAACAGACCCCGGGACGGGTGGTGGTGAATAAGTGTTGTCAATTCTCAATGATAAAAAAAATGACATGAAAAACAATTTAAAAGCGATTTCAAGTATGGAAAGATTTTTTATTGTTGTTTATATATCTGGTACCACGACTTTGGTCACTTTCCCGTCCCTTTGATGTGGCTTTTCTCTCTATTATCTATAAATATTTCCACAGCAATTGTACTAATGATCTCTCAGCCTTGTTACCTCGACCGCATGAAACATTAAATATACTGGGCGCTCTAGCTGTGGGTGAGGATGTACGTAAGCCGTTAAACACAAAGGCTTCCTTAGTGTAAAAGAATTCTTAAATAATACTTTAGCCGACCATTGTTTTTTAGAGGAAGTCTATCTCTGCTCGGACTTCCTAAGGTTGAGCACGGGGTCAGATACAAGCCATAATATAGGAAGTCTATTTTGATTGGCTGAGCCAGCGTGTGAAAGGCGATAGGAAAAGGTTTTTAAGGGTCGAATCTTAACCGTCAAACAATGTAGACGCATTTTCATTGTGTCTGAAACGGCTCCCATGTGGAAAGGGAGGACGAGCCATCCCCACTCTATAGACAGAACATGTCGACATGAACGTTAATAAAATAGTTATGTTAAAATTCCCTGTTGAAGTTCTTTTATCTCTTGACTCAAAACAACGGTGATCACCGGT